CTACAAGCATTTTGCTTGTTGCTTTCTGAATTTGATGTAACTTTTTGTAAAAATTTTGAATGTAAATACAAGTAGGGATATCAACGGGCCCCGTGGAGTCGAGGAGTCTCTCTTCGTCTTCATCCCCGCGAATGGCGGAAATGAAGATCCCCTTGAACATTTTTTATGGGGGGCAGATTTTACTCCTGTCCTTGTCTCTGTTCCCCTCGGGATTCCCATTCCTCACCAACTGATATTAAATTATAAATTTTTTTATCTTTTACATATAATTAATTAATATTCAATTATAATGAATAAAATTCTAAAAGTCAAATACAATTAATTAAAATGTTTAAATATAAAATCAAATATAAATTGTCCAAATATAAATTGTCCAAATATAAATAAAAATCAATTCAACATAAATAACTAAACCAACAATTAACAAATTTGTTCCAAATATAAACAAAGATTAATTCAAGCTAAACTAAAACATAAGCAAAAATTAAACCTACAATGGAGGGGAAGGTAAAAATGAAAATTGAGAAATGAATTAGGGTTAAGGTTAAATGTAAGTAGGGGAATGAATTGGGTTAAGGTTAAATGTAAGTAGGGGAATGAATTGGGTTAATTTTTATGGATTGAGTTGGGTTGGGTTAGGTAAAATTGAGTTAGGTTTAATTTTAATTAAATTGAGTTTGAACTTGAGTTTGGGTTTGTATTTGGGTTTGGATTTGGATTTGAATTTGGATTTGGATTTGAATTTGAAAGATAAATTAAATTTAAAATAAAATTAATTTATATTTGTTTTAATTTTTGCGGGGATGGGGATCCCTGCAAGACCCCATGGGATGAGAAAAATTTCCTGTGAAATTTCGCAGGGAAAAATACTTCTCATCCTCGCTCTGCGAAAAAGAATATTCCTTCCCACCCCATCCTCGTGACGGGATCCCGCGGGGTCCCGTGAGTATCGCGGGAAATTGCTATTACTAAATACAAGATTTAACCAGATGTATACAGAAAGGAAAGATTAGTACCAGCTTTCCATGAAGACTTTGTCATGATGCAATAAGAAGAGAGGACCAATGGATCCTCCATCTTGATTCTTGGTAAGGAACTTGCAGATGGGTCCTGCACCATAGAGTCTCTCAATTTCTCCATTTTCCTTGGTTCTAAC